GGGGGGGTAGTGAAGGAATTACGGGCGCTTAAGCGAAAATGTTTTCTTCGGCTGGCCTGCTTACAGAGGGGTGGGTGTGGGTACAGAGGTAAGGGGTGGACGACGACGCCCCGCTCCCCGCGCACGGTCCCCGACAATCCTTACTCCTCCACGTGGCCGGTATGGCCGCCCCCTCCCCGCCCGGGGCGCTCCCAGGGTCGCCTCTTCGCCGGGGGCTGCTCGGCAGCCAGGTCCACGACAAGCACGCCCCGCGGGCCTACCTCTCACGTCAGCGCGGGGCATGCACGGCGATAAAAAGCATATTAGACAGCTTTAGTGCAGCCGGCCATACGGAGCGGCATAAAGGCGGGCACCTGGGTGGTGGAGGTGGTGGTTGTGGTGGAGGGTACAGGTTGTGGTCGTGCTGGTGATGAAATGCCTCCGGGGGCGCCAGGAGGGTGCGGCGGGCGGGCGGCGCTGCTGTGGTCAGCTCCCCAAAGGTGTTGGGTCGGGTCAGCACCGCAGAGCTGTGCCTCCTCCTCCGCTACAAGGAGAGCGTCACGGCGCTCGTAACGGACGGACGGGGGGCGCATACTCGCGCCGCGGACCTTGGCCCATCCATACCTAACGCACGGGCGCAAGGGGCGGGGGCGGGGCGTGGCGGGCGCAAGCCCCCGGGGCAAGCCGAGCCGAAACTACCAAGCAGCAGCGACTAGAGAAGGAGAGGAGGGGAGAGGGGTATGGAAGCACTTCGATAGGGATATAGGGGCGGCAGGCAAAGGGGATCAAATCCCTGCGGATTGAGATCGGCGCAGCAGCGCCGCCGCCGCCTACTCCACCGATGGGATCAAAAAAATAAATAAAATCGCGAAGCGATCTCGTACCACAAGGCGTAGCGGCGCTACAACGGTGGAGCTACAGCGCAGCAAGGAAGACATCGGGGGCGGGTCGATAGGTCAAAAGAGCCTCGAGGATGGACTGTAACAAACTACGTTAACGTAGACGAATCGTCCTTTAAAGCCCGGCGTCACCCGCGCACTCTCATCTCCGCCAATTTGTGCAAATAAGCACAAACGGAAAAAAACGAAAAAAAAAAAAACAGAGCAAGAAAAAGACCGCCGGCCGACTCACCCCGAGGCAACATACAAACCCCACGACCACTTTGGGCGCCC